TTTAAGGAAACCCAAAATCTATTGGCAATCATAAGTTAATATGATTTGAACTTTTTGCCTTATACAAATGAAATACCATGTGCATATTGGTCCTCTGGTCCTGTTAATACAATTTTTTGAAGGGTTTCTTTTATAATTTAAAACTATATCATTGCACAAGCATTTTCAAGGACTCTCTGCAGTTTTGCGTACTCTTGCAACTACTAATTCAAGAATCAGTTTGATGACCGATTAAAAATAATGTGTTTATACGTTATAAAGATTCAACTGTTAAATATCATAGTTTTTGAGGGTGGGACTGGAAATTTAGACTATATTAAAGATTTGCATTCATAGTAGAACATTATATACTTTAAGTAAACCAACAGAAAAAGATTGTTTAAAATTTTCAAGTTCATTTTAGAACAAACTGTTTGCTCCGCCTCCCAGTTAACTGAGAATTTCAAGAAGTAGAAACATATTAAATAAATAATAAGTGAAGTTAAATATATCCCACAGTGATTTTAAAAAACATTACACAAACTTCACGGATGCCAATATACTTCTAACAACCTTACTAGGAATTTCCTAAAACTGATATTGTACGTTGAAATAAATTTATCTATCTATCTATTCTATTCTATATTCTATTCTATTCTATATTCTATCTATATATATAAAAGGCAAAGCCCTCACTGACTGACTGACTGACTGACTGACTGACTGACTCACTCACTCACTCATCACTAATTCTCCCACTTCCCACTTACCTAAGAGGCTGAAATTTGGTACACTGATTCTTTAGGCATTAAATAGGAAAACTAAGTGGTTTTTATTCTGATCGGACTCTCGGGCTCCGCCCCAGTGGCTCTGGAGTTTCCCATGGTAACCTAATGAGTACTCATATTTAAATGGAATTAATGAATCATAACAGCTGTTTCAATTAAACAAGTTGGTTGTGTTCTATTATGTTCAATAGCATTAAAGTTACAAGGATTACCAACAGAGTGCAGCACTATATTTTTTTAATATTTGACAACAGCTAATTTGAAACCAAAAGGTGAGTGAGCGTAGCGAACGAGCTAACCTGAAAGCAATTGAGCGCAGCGAACGAGCTCCAACCGTAAAGGTGAGTGAGCGTAGCGAACGAACTGCAACAAGACGTGTGAGCGCAGCGAACGAGCTCCAACCTAAAGGTGAGTGAGCGTAGCGAACGAACTTCAACCAGGACGTGATGGAGCCATGCGAACGAGCTCACATATGAAGTTAAACGGGGCAAAGCCCGCGGGTACAGCTAGTACTATTATAAAGAAGAGGGGGTGTCTGTGTGTGTGTTTGTATGAGCTAATCTCAAAAAATACTGATCCGACTATGCTCAAATTGCACACAAATGAAGCTACAGCTCCTAGGATACATATAGAACTATTACCGCTTCGATATTCACCTAGGGCTTTGCCCCGTGGGCTTTCAAAAATCTGAGATGAGAGATTTAAAAGTAAATATTGATTGATGGTATCCATGGTAACAAAGAACAAACCTAGTAAGTTTAAAAATGTAAACAAGCAGAACTAACTGTCAAATTGATTATGATTTCTCAATTCAACACAGCTGGTTCAAACCTTATTAAATACTGCACGAATATTAGAACAGAGAGGGTAAGGATTATAAATTTAAAATAATGATGTCACTAGCCTGAATTTATTTAACATTGCCTAAAGGAGCTGTCAAACCATATGTTAATGTAATTTCATTATTATAGGATTGTTTCAGTTACAGTACTTCATTAGTTTATGATCTAACTATACTGAGTCTGTTATAATATTTGTGAAATGTTGTAATATTATTTATTTATTTTTATAATAATTCATTTTAAAATAAATCATTCAATGGATATAGGAAATAATCAACATTCTATATTGCCCTATCAACCTAGGCCCTTATCCTGAGTTATGGGGTATATTCTTTTGATTTATTTGTTTGTAAACAGTAATATAATCCCCCTGCCCCAGCAAACCTATAGACTGAGCCAATTCCCGTTTGCCTGATTATAATTTCACTAAAATATGTTAGAAAATTGCCCTATTAACATGTTTGGAACTATTGTGATAGGTTTTCGTTTACAGTGCATACCATTAAACACATTCTTTCATTATAGGTATATGTGTGCCACACTTTAGGATACCGTATAAATTAAAAGACCATATTTTCTTAGACCGTTTCCTCTCCCATCACTGCAATGATCATGTTCTACTTATATGCCAACCCCGTACGAAGGTCGGGTATTCTACTAGTTATTAATACAGTTGAGAATACTAAAGGTTCTACAAAACAAAACATTGAATAATAAAAATACATTTGTATGAAAGTAACAGATAGATTGACAAAATTGTAAAACGATCGTATAATATCTAACAATATCAAATTATTTACAGTATCACGGTTACAACTTTTAAACTACTTTTGTTATGACTCAATGTTAACCTCTTTAGGACCTTTCATTTTATGCTTTTGTTAGTGGGGACTGGTTAAAACACCACAGTAGGTTTGACAAATATGATTGTGAGATGATATTATAATCTGAACTAGATTATGCGTGTTGATAATAATATGTATTTTAATTTAAGTACTTTAATTGATTCGGTTATATGTTTACCTCATATAACATTTGAACATGGATTGAAACATTAGATGTCTTTGGAATACTCTGAGAGTGAGAAGCAAAACATAACTTTCAGCAATGATGCGCATCGAAATCTACCTTTACTGACTGATTCAGAAATGTAATTGCAAAATATTTTGTCAACATGACTAAAATGTTAAAAAAAATAGATGTATCAGCACGAAATAGTTTGTAAGATAAAAAAGCAGTCTAGGACAACTTATATAGCGTTCTAACCTCAAACATTGTTATCGTTTCAGTGTACAAATTCAATTGATACAAAATAACTACGTTACCAATTTATGTTTGTAAACAAAAATCAATTTTTTAATGGTTGCGTAATAGCTATTTACATTACAAGTGTAGTAAGAGCGTTTTTACTTCACGCAGGTGAATGTTGTGCAACGAGCGGAAGCGAGTTGCATAATTCACCTAAGTGATGTAAACAGCACGCTCTTGCGTAACGTGTAACGTACAAGATTTTACCTGACCCGACAATAAACATGGGTTTACGTACAATATTTTTCATTATCCATTTCACTCATCTTCTATCAGTAACGTTCTTTTACTAACAAAAGCTAGGTTAGGTAGGAAAATACTTTAAAGCATAATAATAACATTCAAGCGCACAGCTGATTTCTAGCGTTGAACATCGTTGGCTCCATAGAGTTATATTTTTTAAGTTAAGCACTCAATGTTATTTAAATGGGTTTCTTTACATCACCGAGTGAGTTTTTGATACTTTACATCACTCGAGAAGTAAGGAAGTTGTATACATCACGCTTGGGATAGGGAAGTTTAACATGGCGGGTTAGGTAAATCAATTTAAATTATTATTTACTACACAAATTATTTGTAATGTAAAACATTGTTCACCACTCGGAGCAAAAGTATATTATTTATGGTACTTAAATTGTTTTATAGTACGTGGCAGTATAGTATTATTAGTTTATTAGTTGCTTGTTGCACTGTTCTACACACTGCTCAAGCTCTACAGCTCATTAAGTGGCATCCTGTCCACACACTGTTGATATATACTGAATTGTGGCATGGTGCCACTATTTCGAGTGTAAGCTGGCGCGAGAATTGGCAACGTAGCATTAGGAAAGTTATAGTTCCGGCGGACGGCGCGAGGCGCGCTAGCTACCTGTATGGTTTCGTGTTCCACAATTCGGTGTGTACCTGCGCTACTTAAACTCACATCAACGAGTTCAAAAATACTCAATTGTGGCATGTGATGTTTAAACGACGTAATAATGCTGGAAAACCTCAAAAATGATCGAATTAGCTGTGGCACCCTGAAAAAGGTGCCACAATTTTTGAAGGTGCCACAGTACGGCCGTGTGCCTGTGAAGGATGCCACTATTCGGTGAATACAAACACACACATACACACACACACAGACATCACTTCGAAAACCACTTTTTTGGGTCCAGGGGGACCCAAAACGAATATATCCACTCAAAACTCAAACTCGAAAATTTTGACGAAAACAATACTTTCTCCATATACTATGGTATAGAGGGAGAAAGTAAAAAAGGGCCATATGACCCTAACTCTGATCCCTAAATACAGGATTTCCATTTAATTTAATTTAGGGTATAATAGGGCCAATAGGGTATAAGTAGGGACGCCATTCAAGATTCTTGTCATTCGCCTATTGGGTCTGATGATGATTGGAGTGTCCAATCGAAATCGATCACCACTTACCATCGTTTTTGTATATTTACCGTCTTGTGAGTAACAGTATAAGCGTAAATATATGTTTTAAGTGTTATAAGACGTTTCTTTTATTTACTTTCCGTAAATTTAATAACACGTACAATGCTGATCAAGAAGTTATTTAATTTAATTTAATCTCAACAAACTATAAGTTTTAGAAATCATTTGAAATCAAGTATTCTAAAAAATCTTGAATCTTCAGTGCATGTTCAGTCTTTTATTTATAAAAATACACAGAATCTACTCTAACAATTCAATTACAAAAGTGTTAAGACAAGAATCATACTATTGTCTTGATTATCTTCAGCGATCACCATAGCCATGAAATTCCTATCCCTAAATTATTCCAACCCTGTTTGGAAACCAAACCAGAATTAAGAGTTTCCTGAACAATTCCTGAATAGTTTGGACTTGAATATTTAATTCCATTACATTTGTCATATAATGCCTTATACAAACACAGCAGCCGTGCAGGCAAACGGGTGTAACTAGTGTAGTCTTGAGATATTGTAATTTGAGATTTACGTTTGACACACATCACTAAACAAATTGTAAATACGATTCCAAGATCTTGTATTTATTGAATTAGTTAATTCAGCTCGCTATTTGTGCACATTTGGTAACAATACTTGTTTTCCAGACAAGTGCTAGAAGAGATGGACCTGCTGTCCGCGTTCACAGCTGTACTGCACGTACCTAACCTCAACAAGGCTGAACATCTGCTGGCCGTGGTCGAGGAGAGCGAGATATTCTCCAAGGAGCAGATGGCTCAACTCATGCGTCAGATCTCAGGACATTCCAAGTAAGTGTTTATAGCAGTCTTCCAGCGTGGCTGTGAGTGTGCATCGTTGACTGCGGGGTGTTTGGAATGCTGTGTGTGGAATAATATCCTTAACACGAGCTGTTGATGGGAGAATGTTTTATAACTTGAGTGTAGAGTTTGATTTTGACTTGCTTCACTTGCAGATTCGCTTTTTATCTAGGGTCATTGGTAAACGTTTTCGGTTGCTACGCTGTTAGTTTTGTACGTAGAATGTTTAAAAAACTTTTGAAAATCTTTGTGTTTTAGTATTTTATTTTTGTGCATGGAAATTTTGCATTGAAAAAGATGACCATTTAAGAATTGTTTTACCATGATCGAGTTAAAAAGTAGTGAACCAATTTGTGATCAGCAAAATAGAGCCAGACAATTAGGACCAGCATGGAGCTTGCAATTGGTAGTCACGTGTGGTATGTTGCCGTGGGGATTGTAAAGTTGTTGGGGCAGGTGGAAGATACTACGATGCTGTCCAATTTTGGGTGACAAGTTGCTGGGTAAGAAAGTAAAGAAGACTGGCCTCTCTTCTGTTAGGCCTACAGGCCGTTCTTCGTCAGTTAAGCCTTCAGGCCACTCTGTCGTTGTTCGGCCACCGACCTCCAAGACTCCCCAAGCTGCCTGATCCATCAGGTAGCTGAAACCTTTTAGTTGTATCCTAAAAGGGAATGTTGCGTCCGGTTGAAATTTCATAATGTCGAAAAGTAAGTCAGTTTTAGAACGGGAGCAAATTGGCCTAAAGGTATAGCACAGGGCTTCGGTCCCATAGGTCATGGATTTGAATCCTCCTAATCACCTATGTTTTTAACTTTTTGATAGGGATGGTCAAGTTTCGAAATTTCGGGAATTTTTCGGGAAATTTTAAATCTCGTTACACGAGACGAGATTTCTTTTTGGCCGAGATTTTTACCGAGACGGGAATAAAAAAAAAAAAAAAAAAAAAAAATTAAAAACGCCTGCAGAAAGTCAATGCAATACCCGCAATACAGGAGCGTGTTGTAGTTGCGTTTCCTTTGTGAAGGCGTTCTTATTTAATTAATTCTTTAAATGTAAATATTACTTTAATTATTTTAATAATATTACTTTAAAAACATTTGAGAAGTTTTGTAAAGTGTAAGCAGTGTGAGGAATGTTTTATTACTATAAAAAGTCAAAACAAGTAACTATAAAAAAAAAAATTAATATTGCTTTTATTTTATGATTTATTTTATTTTAGGATAAGTTGAACTCTATCCTAACTGATATCACTATGTTTCCTAATCGTAGGCATTTTTAATAAGATAGGCGTGATTAATAAAAAAATGTTATGCTGATGTTTTTTTAATAAAAGATTGTAAATATTCTTGCCTATTATCATTATTTTTGTATTTAAACAGTCACCTAACAATGTTACAAAATCAGGTAAAAATTTTGAACGTGCATTTCCCGTTGTGTATGAGAAGGGAAATCCTGTCTCGATCTCGTCTCGAAATTTAATGAGAAATAAAAAATCTCGTCTCGTCTCGTCTCGAACTAAAAATCCAATCTCGTCCATCCCTACTTTTTGATAATGCCGCAACCCTCTAGGCCAAGCCTGAAGTAATTTGTAAAATGGTTCTAAGCTAGAGCCTAGTGTCTAGGATGTACAGTAGAAAAGAAACTGAGTATCTAGAACACTAAACACAAGTAAAAGCATATTCCACAATCGCTGACAGATTTTTCATCCAAGCACATTCAAATTAAGTCTGCTATCCCGGTTAATTCTTTAAACTGGACATTGTGGCAGTGAATTTTCTCTTCTAGTTTGAAACTTAGACAATATGCAACACTCCCTTTGAGGATATGTCTATTGGAAGAACTTTTAAAACACATGTTTATTAAATTTTTAACACATTTAAGTTATTTTTTTGTCATTTTAGCCTTGATTGCTCCTTTTTGTCAAAACATTTCTTTTTCTTACTTGCCTTTGAAATTTTTCCTGCTTTTGTTCTATCCGACTGTAAGTTAATTTCATGTTTGTTGTTGCAGGATTTTCATCGGGATCAAGAAGCTGCTAGCTATGTTGGACATGGCTCGTCAGACGGAGGACGCGTATCGAGTAGTCAAGTTTGTATCGAGGCTCGAGGAGGAAGGCGCACTCGATCGAGGAATGACCATACACTAGACAGTATTAGCCTCCTCGTAACAGCACATCCTTCCTTAGGTATTATCAGACCTGCTTGTTGAATTTGTGATTTATTTATTATAGTATGTTACTTACGACGTTACGTTTGTGCATTGTTAATAGTAAAAGCGTAATTGATGATAGAGTTTTATTATGTATGTGTGGACTGGTTTGACCGGTTAAACCACCGAGCTGTGAGATGTATTACTCATTAAAACGTCCATCAACTCTAAATGTTTATGTGGCGGTTAGAAGGCTTTTTTTAATTCCACAAGGTTTTAGCCTGGAATTTTTTCCACATTACTTCAGACTAAGCTTAGAGGTTGCGACATTATCACTTAGATAAAACTCATTGGTGGTGGGATTTGAACCGGGGACCTTGGGGACCGAAGCCCGGCGCTCTACCACTAGACCATATGTTAAATAGGTGCCAAAGCAAGACTTAACCTCCGCATGCTAACCAACGTTGATGGACAATTTGGTGAATAATACAATTTATCTATTGTTTGGTAATAAATCGAAAACTCAGAAGGATTCAAAGGTAAATGTATGTAAAGCTGGTAAAAAATGAACTAGGCACTGGCTGAACAAGGCATACTGCAAAACAAATGATGTCAGCAATTTGGAATTAAACACAGCTGTGACAGCTATCCTTGTTAAAAATTGGAATGTCAAAGATAATAGGTGTGCTGTCTAAACTGCTGTAAAATGTAAAAACTGACAAATTGTAAAAAAGATCTATCCAACAAACAAAAACAACAACAAAAAAATAAAACAGAAGAATAAAAAAATTAACATTTTATTGGTTAAAAACTATTTATAAAAAAATTCAAATAAATTGCTGATGTCATTTATTTTAGAGTATGACTTATAACACAGTGTTCATATTGTAAGTTAAAGTAAAGTGGATATGCTTGAATGTTAAAGGTTCTGGTTGGTACCTTTTCCTAAAAACGGACTACTTGAACATCAACAGTGTAAGATATTACCTACCTAATTAACATTTTTTTAAATAATTAAAGTCATCACCCCATTTTCAATCTAGAGGTGCATTTTTCCCCTTTATAGGTACTGATTAATTTATCTGTATATGACTTCATGCACACAATAATCAATGTTACTTTAAATTTTAATGCTTGTAAATGCTATGTTTAGTTAATTTATGTTTAAAGGTTTAAAAAACGTATATAACTTGTTAAATCATCTAATAAAAGGTAGATAGAATCAATTTTTTAAAATTCTGCATCCAGTGTAATTTATTGAGTTAACTTTAAAACTCTTTAAATGATTTGGTATTTATTTGTAAATTTTATCGTTAACCTGGTAAAAATGTAGGTAAGCAATTATTGGTGTTAATTATTAAATAATAGTTATGAAACTTACTTTGGAATCAAAACGATTGACATGAAATATGCACTTTCTCTCAATATTTCTCTTTAGGCTGAGTTGCACCAATGGTCATAAATAAGTTTTCGTGATCATTTTCAGTTATAATTAATCGATTGTAAACATTCATTTCTTGAAAAAGTAATTTTACTCAACTATAGGTGTCTAAACAACGACAAATTTTTATATTACTTTTTTCAACGTTTAATTAAACTTCAAATTATATAAGACCGTTGTGCATTTTTATTTGAACTTTACACTGTATATAAACCTGGAGCTTGTGTGGTTGTAGTGCAATAGATAAAAGTAGTCATGCCATAAAGTGTGTGTGAGGTAATACGCAACTACCAAAAACTGCTTAACTATTTTAATTCTAACTAGTCTGCATAGGTTACTAGGGGAATATCAAAATATTTGTATGTATGTTTTAAGACTGTATCAATATACCTATACAAAACACTGGATCTAATTTTGTGTGTATAAAAATTAGTGGCATTTAGTAGATATCATGAATCTAATTGTAAGACATGTCTTTTCTCGTTTGATATGAAGTACAGGTAATTTTATTTGTTGTATGCTATGGATTTTGGAAGATGTACTGCAGAAAAATTCAATTTGATGTACTAATGTGTGTGCTAAACTTGAAATTCTTTTTGCCTTTTTTCCAAGGTTATACTTTTATTGTGTTTTCCAAGCAAATTCACTAGCCCACTTTATAAACTTGGCCTTTAATAATTAGACTTTAATATGGACTTTAATAATTTAGTTTACTTTTGAACTGGTTTTAGTTTTAAAATATTTTACAACTTTCCAAACACAGAAAACCTTGATTTTTGTTCAATTAATATTTGTATTTTTTTTACACATTCTCTTAAATCAATACATACACATTTTTTAAATCAATACATTACAACTTTTTCATGAAACATATTTAGGTTTTCACCTGGTGCACCCTTCAAGATGTAGGAAAATCTATGTTTTGAAAATGTACAAATATGAAAAGGAATTACTTGGATCGTATGATTTTAGAGTATTTAGAAGTAATTTGTTTGTTAATCACATAAGGATGTAGATGCAAAGTTGTTGTTTGTTTAACATTTAATTGTGGTGTAATACTTAGTATGAAGTAGCAGAGATAGAATTATCGTCAAAAGAATGTTCATCCTTTTGCTCATAAATGTTTGTTTAAATATCTGTTAAAATATAACATTGTTTAATAATGCAGTTAGATTTTAAAGAATAAAATTAATTGGTGTTTGGTGTTAAATGTGTATAAAGGATGCAGAATGCAAAATTTAAAGACAACTGTTGAAATAATTTAAAAGTTTTTAAAACTTAATTTAATTTTTTACTTCTGTTAAGCCTGTGTATTGTTTATAAGACATATTTTATTATCGATTCTGTGTAATTTTAGAGTATTTATGGGCCCTGTTATTTAAGCATATTGGAAAAGCTAAGTGGTTGTTGTCGCTTATATTAAGTCAATTGTTAGAAGACATATCAGGCTTAAAGTCTGACTTAAGTCGCCTAAGCTTCCGAACTTATATAGAGCAATAAAATTGATGTCTTGCCGAGAATATTGTAATCAGCCCATCGTATTTACCTTGCCGTATTTGGATGCAATATTTAAGAATGTATTTAATTTATTGATTAATTAATTCATTAGGGTACTGGTAATCTCTCCATAAAAATTTCCCATTTAACTTGTAATCTCTTTATAAAACAGAACTAACTATAATATACACTGAGTTTGAGTTTTATTCATAAAAGGGTTTCGACTGGTCCCTCACAAAAACAAAAAAAATGCCACCAGTTTGAAAGCAAAAAAAAAACATAATATAACCTGAATAATGGAAACTCAAGTACCAAAACTACAACATTACTTATTAACGATTATATTAACATTATTAACCTTCTCCTGCCTCCTCCATCCCTCTCAATTTGGTACTTAAAATTAAAATAATATCAATTCTTAATTTGTATTTTGTACTAACAATAATTGACTTAAGAGGGAGTAGTACCTGAATGTAGTTCCCTATTCCGCCTCTGTCTCAAATAAAGCCTTGCCAATACTTTTCAACACCTAAAATCTTGCATTGGTAGGTTGGGATAAGACAGAGCTCTTGTATGATCTAAAAGACTTTTATTTTTTGTTCTTGTTTTAACACAACAATATAGTATTGTGTACACAGCTATTAGTCAAAGATATCATGTGCTAAATATTTAATTATTTGAGTATATTATTATTTACATTTATAACCATAAGAAATAATTCTGTAGTATTAAGTACTTCTGTAAATTGGAGGTGTGCAAACGGGTTGATTTTCGAGCCGAGCCTAGCATACGAGCTCGAGAGTTCGCCAACTCAGAAAATCACGCTCGAGCCGAGCTTCCACATTTGCAGGCGATAACAAAGTTCCTGTTAATCACAGGAGAAGATGGTGATATCCCTACAACCGCGAGAGGTGTTCAAAATTTTCTGCAATTACAGAAATAATTTATAATGATTACACCACCATTGTAGACGACCAGGATTTTACAATGATCGCTTGAGTCAATTAATTATGATGTTTACACAACCCTGGAAGATCTTTTTGAATTTGCTGCGATTGTGGAAAAATTTGATTTTTCCTAACCGCGGGGTTTGCTCAGAATTTTCCACAATTATTGGCGAAGACGATTATGATTATGCTTGGCTGCGAGATCGGTCCAGTATTTGACTGCGATTACGGAAAACAATGATGATGTTTCTGACACTGTGGGAGACGATGATTTTGTTCACACGACCGCAGTAGACGTCCTGGGTTTTGCCGCGATCGCTGAAGACAATGATAATGTTTCTGTGGCTGCAGGAGATGAACAGGATTTTTTCTGCGATCGCGGGAGACAGTGATGATGACGTAATGATAATTGGACTGTAGCCTACATAATATTGATGATTACCAAATGTACTACTTTCTTAAATACTGTAAATCGTAACATAAAATTGTACTTTGAGAAAAGAACTAAACAAACAAATTTATTATATGTCATTAGTTAAAAATTCTCGGTTTGAAAAAAACTTGAGGCTCGAACTTTTCTCCAAAAGCTCGCCTCAATGAAAAATCTCAGGCATGCACACCTTTCATGTAAATAAAATAATTTGTGTAATATTCACAGTAATGTAATTATTAAATGTATGTTTTGTTAATATATTTTTAATTTAACAAAAATGTGTGATCATTTTGCTTGTGCTACTCTATACAATAGAAAAATACTTATTTAATGAGACTGTAGTTAAAACATTACTTTTCCATTTTATTTCTTCATGCTTATAAAACTAATAAAGTTTTCTTTTTTATTATGTTCCAAAGTTGCAAAGTCACTGCTTATTTACATGTTAAAGTTAGGAAAATACCACCGTAATATGAATATTATTGCAATAGCAATTGAATAGTTAGAGTTAACATTTTCAGAGATGAAATTATTTAAGTATTAGACTAGTTAAATAGTATAATTTAAATATTTAAATCTATTTTTATTTTTATCTTTAAATAGCAAAATTATGCCTATTGTAAAAACAAAAACGAATGTTACATGTTTTATTGTTGGTGGTAAAGACCAAATGTGTTATTTTTAACAAAAATATTGCATGTTTTTTTACTATTTTAAAATTATATTTTTTTAAATTATGAATTAAATGGTTTACAATTTAAGTCAGTTACCATTACAAATTTAAACTTCTTAAGCGTTTCTATAAAATAACATTCCTTGTATAGTTTTGTGTAAATGTTTATGTTGTACTTACAAATAATAAAAGAACATAGTTCTGTTCATGATTATGTAAAATACCAACTCAGTAAATGTAAATTGTTGAAGTGTAGTTGTGTTTATTACAAAGTCTCACCTCTAATTTTATTTTTATTAACACATGAATTTATTTTCAGTGCAAGGATACTACAATGGTATATTTCGCTACTTGTCCCAAAAGTCACCCATTCAGAGCAAAATAGTACAGTAGTTTACGAGCGAATTGAAGCTGAGGGTGGAAAACAGCTATCGAACCCCAAAACTGAACTTTTGTGGAAGTTCTTTTCATCACGATGCAAACAATAATACTAAGCTTCTTGATTTGAATTTTTTTTTAATATTCCATACTTAGGAAATTTTTTTAAGTAGGTAGTCATAAGTTACCATGGTTTTAAATTTATTCAAACTCAGGTGTTTAAACAATATTTCTCGTAATAAAAATACACATAATTTAGTGCTCCTTTCGAGCTAAACGGGATCTTCGTTTTTCGGGACAGGACAAAGTTGATTTCGTATAGGAATAGTTGTGTTGATGGCAGGCAAAATGATATGTATGACAGATTGTAATTCAACGATTTTCTAAAATTTCAGCTGTACATAAATGAGCTTTTTTTTATATACAGAGTGATGAAAAGTATTAGTTATGAAATTCTAAGTAGTAAACCATTACTACTACTGCTCTTTTGACAATTTTAATTTGCCTACTTTTGCCTAGTTTTCAAAATCGGAAAGAAATCATTTATCCAAACCCTCTCAATTTCGGATAATCGGTCTTTGACTTAAAGAATATAGATATACTATTTTAACTTTGATTGATACTATTTAAATAAATTTTTACACGTATATTGTTGATTGTCACTGCTGATCGTCTCCCGGTCTCGGCAACAACGGGGATCAGCATTTAGGTTAATCGACGTTTTGGATGATCGGGCTTTCGGTAATCAATGCTCCACTGAATAACGGAAAACCGCTGGAAGTTTAATAGTTTTTTACAACCTTCAATATTGTCTTAGTGATCATCAACATCGGTAAATTAATTGCTAAAACAATTTACAAAAATGCAAAAAAATCAAGTTAAACATTTATAACAATCTTCAGATTATTAAAAATTCAGAAATATTGGTGAAGATTTTATTTCAAATTTATAAATAACAAAACCTTGTATTTTAACTAAATTTAATTACATTGTCTAAATAAATGTAGGTAATGGATGGGCTTTAATTTATTGGAAAAAGGTATTAACAAAATGAAAATACATTACATTAAAGTATAAATTTAATCTACAATACTACATTTTGACTGGTTTGATTTCTCGTATAGAGATTACATAGGTATATTAACAAACTTATTTCTACGCTCGTAATCTTACAACCCGAACAAAAGTCTTAAGCCGAAAGCTCGGTTGAGAGCGTTGACGAAACATGTCATCAATCTCAATCAACCTCTTGACGAACCTAAATACTTAATTCACTGAATTCAATAACACTTAACAATAACACTCTTTGAGCCGCAATCGATCGATTGCACAGACTATATACAAGGCGCGACAGCGCCGGCGGACGGATATCTACGATAAATAACTACAAGAATTAACCTTGGTTAGGTCAAAGGTACTTGGCAAGAATATGTACAGGATCAGACAAAACTGGGGGACTTACGATCGCAAATACTGCGAATAAATAGTTTGTTACTAGGGTTACACATATCAGTATGTATTGAACGTGCTACAATTCAGTGTAATAAATGTTCCATACGTTAATGGTCGGTTATAAATACGACTTAAATATTTTGTGATAAATGTAATGATGCATAAATAAAATAATAGATGGTATTTGTTCCTCCATCAGGTAAAGAGTAAACTTTACTTCATAAAGATGTGTGAAATATTTTAAGTGTTCGATTAGCTGTAATTGATTTTGGAAATTTCTTTAAACACTATTTGTTAACTTTTATTGCCAGTTACGTACCAAAAAAAGTTTTACTCATGTAAAAAATAATTTTTTTAATATTTAAAAGCTTGAGAATCATCCTAATTCATGAAAAATATACATTATGCTTTAATTGAACACCAGTTAGTTATGAACTAAATAAGTATAAGAAATTGTACTTATTACAATAAGTAAAATAAATTATAAGCATTGCCAAAATCTTGAACTGAAAACTAGGTTTCAAACATTTTACTGCCCTAAAATATTGAGTTCTCAACTTGTTTTATAGCAAGCCCTTCATTTTTAAAGCAATGAACTAATTTTGTGTTATTTCAGAATACATATACAAAATACTTTAGATAGTTAATACTCTTAACAGTACACTTTAAAAATAAAAATCTTGTAGTCTAATATTAATAAATTTGCTATCACATAAATTTCGTGAGTATTGGGTACAGTTTAAAAAATTGTTATCTTTTATTTAATTTTAATTCATAAAATAATCTTGAATAATATGGTTTCTTCATAAAACTTGGTTCAGAAAAATTCTCACAAAGTAATTCTAGTTTTATCACATTCAATTAGATTCACAGCTGAAGAGAAAATGGCAAGAACTATACAATACCTAAGCTAAGCATAAAGTATCGTACTTTCAGACTTAACTTTGGCTCATAATGAAAAGTTTGTATAGCACCTAAAATGTACAGCTTTTCACATCTTAACACTATTTCGATAAAAGTCTTATTGCAGCTTCTGCAGCTTCTTCTGGCTGGCTCTGTAGGCTTGGTTGTAGAAGTCGAGGAAGAGGACGAAGAATATTGTGGAGTGGACGAGTAGAAATGCAGCGACTAACTTGGGGTAGCCACAGTCGAAGATGAGCACTTGAGCCGAATGGATGAACACTAGGGTGAATTGAGCCTGGAAAAGTATCATCTGTTAGTACAATGGTTGGTAAATATGTTTAAGCCACATTTACACAAAGCCAGTTGGCAAACAGATTATACGCCTCAGGTAACTTGAAATGCAATAGCCAGGTTGCCTGCTTGGTGGCCTCGTGTATATGTGGCTTTAAGGACACATTAATCTTTTGAGTTCCTGGAAGTATTTATTGATAATCATGTCTATTACGATAACGATTTCCTCCCTCTAAAACAAATACAGTATTCTATTGGTGAGTGAAGATCATGTCAATTAGTATGACGTTTGGAATGATGAGGGTAAGTCTTCCACCAACACTGAGAGTCACACTACTAGACGCTAGTGGCAATAAATGATTCCAACAGTAATTAATTGTTGAAACAACTGCGGAAAATAACAAAAGCGATGGTGGTGGGGGAATGGTTCTTGTGTGCATTCTGATCGCCACTCTAATTGACACACTAAAAACACACTATCATGTGAAATAAAAATATTGTTTACTGTATGTAGTGATAATAAATAAATTCGTTTAATTTCATTGTGAAACAGCTAATCTTTGGTTTGGTTTTGGACGTTTTGGTATCAATAATCTAATCTAACTGACAAAAACATAGGTTCGATCAATCAATCGGTGGTGTCAACTTTGCCACAGATGTTAACTTTCAATCTAATTTTTGATATTTATTTACTTGCAACAGCTGTTAGTGGATTGTAAAATGTTTTGTTTTTGTTTTCTGTTATGTTTTACATGGTTTTACCTCAAGTTTAATATTTTTTTCAGTGAATCATTCTCAATATATTTTGTGTTCATATGGCCTTCTGTCTTCTGTATGTCCTATGGCCTACCTCAACTTCTTCATGGTAAGCCAGCTACTATCCTCCTTATTCTACAATTCAAAATCCTGGCCTAGAACCTTTCCTTAAACAAAACTAATCTTATTTAGATAAAACATCACTAAAAATCAATTAACCTTTATTAGTTAACATGTGGTTATTGGTGATGTACAATGATTAATAAAATAATATAATTAGTATTTTAGAGGATTTATTGTCTGGACAAAAGGTACAAGACCAAAAGAAAGAAAAAGGTAAACAAGAAAAGTAAGTATTAGTTAACAATAATTGCTAACATGTGTTTTAAGTTCAAATCAATTGAATACTGACAGATGGTTAGGTACAGCCACATACTCCCCTCCCAGTGACAGCGCAAAGTTTCATGTGAGGTATTTGGAAGAGAACCTCACAACACGTCCCGAGCGGGTTTTTCGTTCAGGGACAAGTCCAGAAGGTCCAGGTTGGGCTGAAGGCTGTTGAGTCTTGATGTTTCTAGGTCTCGTTGGTGGTGAGTCTGTTTCAGGTTGTTTCGCCAGTTCATTACCTGACTCCATTGTTTTATCCATCTGAGACTGTGTAGGTTGAAGATGATTTTGAAGAATAAATGCTGGTTTCAGCCGATCAATAGAAACGGTATCTTCACCCCGTGGCAATAATATGTTAAAATACTTGTCACCTCTTGAAACAACTTTGAAAGGCCCTTCGTATGTTGGTTGAAGAGGCTTTCTTATTGCGTCATGACGAATAAAGACATGAGATGAGGTCATGAGATCAGGATGGATGAAAATAGATCGTTTGTGATGATGGCGAAATGGTACAGGACGAATTGATTTGACATGGTCTTGAAGTCGAGCAAGTAGTTTAGGGATGTCATTCGGCAGCTTGGAGTCTTCAAAGAAATCAACAGGGAGGGTGATTGGTTCTCCGTAGACGAGCTGTGCAAGTGAAACTCCTATTTCTGGTATTATGTTTGAATGAAGTCCAAGCAGAACTGATGGAAGTTTGGAAACCCAGTCTGCTGTTAGTTGTGCTTTGAGAGCCGATTTTAAGGAGCGATGCCACCTTTCAATAGCTCCATTTGCAGCAGGATGGTAAGCTGTAGTTTTTATGTGATTTATGCCAAGCATGGCTGTCAATGATGAAAACAATTCACAATCAAACTGCCTTCCCCTATCAGTAGTAATAAAACGAGGAACACCGAAGCGAGATATCCATGAGTGCAAAATAGTGGAAGAAACTTCTTCTGCGGTGATGCATGAGATTGGTATCGCTTCAGTCCATCTTGAAAACCTATCGATGATGGTTAACAGGTACTGATATCCTCTTGAAGGAGGTAAGGGTCCAACAATATCAACATTCAAATGAGAGAATCGTTTTTCGGCAGTAGGGTAGG